CGCTCGCAACACGCCCCGCTTCGTCCCCCGGGCGCGCGGCCAGGGCGGAGGCGCCCGCAGCTGCAGCCTACCCGGTAGCCACCAGCCAGGGGCGCCAGCCTGGTTGCAAAGGTGCTCAGAGCTGCAGCCCTGCTCCCCGCCCCGATCAACACCCTCCAGGGGCCTGCTTGCGAAAGGGTCCGGGGTCGCGGCGGGACGAGCCCCTGCCCGCCCTCGGAGCCGTGGACAATTGCCCCGTGCCGGCCTGGGGGGCACCGCATGCCAGCCGGGGCCGGGGGGGGGAGGGGGGCTGAGTGCAGGCACAGACGTGGACACAGCTGCGGAGAGAGGGGCAGAGCACCTGCCCTGGGCGCCCGTGGCTGGGCAGCGTTGCAGGCGATGCATTTGGAACAAAACTGCTTCTAAGTGCTCAAGGTGTGTCCCCTCAAGCCGGCGCACCTGGCCCCAAAGCCTGTTCTGAACCTGTGGGAATACCGCCGGGGCCCTTCCCTTCCCCGCTTCTCCCTTCTCTAAACCCCGGGAAGCTGAATGACCAGCCCAGGAGCAAGTGCAAGCAACAGCGCCCTGAAGCAGAGCCCCTGCCTCCATCTCTCCGGGGCCAAGATTGCTGCGGCAGTATCTGTTCACCTGCACGGCGATGCAGGTACACGCGGAGAGCCTGTAAACATGCAGATGGCGTGGGTTGTTTTTTTAAATGCCTGTAAATGCCTATGTAAATTATATGCAGCCTGGGGGCTATTCTTTTGGCCTTTGCTAGTCCTAATTTGGTCAACCCTGAGTTTGGGCAGTCCAAAGCAGCACGCTTGCCCCCTTGCTTCTCAGGCTTTGCTGCATGTTCTTCTCCTGAACAAACCCAAAATAACCAGCTGGCTGCTGGAACCATCTCTTTCCAGATTACAATCGGGAGGGGAGGGGGAAAAGCCTGAGAAACTATAGCCGGGTTGGCTCCGAAGCTTGGAGGGTGAGCCTGGAAAAAGAACAATGTAATTCCATGAGAGGCCAGACCTGGTTTCTCTATTGTCTGGATGAAAGGCAGAGAGCTCAGGGCTAGGGAGCATATTCCACTGAAAAACAGTGTAAGAACAAGCGCAGCTGGACGGTGGAGCATCCAACACCGCGTGCTCCAGGGCTCTGAAAATGCAGAGGACAAATGGTGTGCGTCAGATCCGGGCACGCTCTATAGAGATGGAAGGGTTGTATTTGGCCTTTTATTACACATCTGTTGAGAATCTGCATTTCTGCACACGATCCCAGCTGTTCTGGGTAAAAAACACAGGTGTCAGAGAGCATTTTCTTTTTAAGGCCAGAAGGGGCTGTTGGGAGGATCTAGTCTGACCTCCTGGACAAAGCAGCCCGGAGGATTTCAACGCCAAGTCGAATAAGAAGGCCTGGTTTTCAGAGGTACCAAGTACCGTCAGCCTCCAACGGGCCTCACACAGGTTCATCGCCTCTGCATATCAGGCTGATGTATACGACTGGGGGCCTCCGTGTTTCACCAAGTGATCCGGTGTCTGGTTTCCTCGCCCCTGAGCTGAGCAGATCCAAGTCATATTGGAGGGGTAGGTGCCGGGGCAGAGAGGAGTGGGTCACTCGGGGAGAGGAAGGTGGTCTGCACCCACCTCCCTTTAATCGTAAAGCCATAGGGAGAGAGCAGGACTGCTCTGAAGGGGTGGTTCACTGGGTTCTTCGCTCTTCCGGTCTATACCCATCGGGTCCTGGAAGGAATCGGGTATTCAGAGCAGCCTGCGGCAGAGGAGGATGAACAAACCCCCTATTCTCCCTTGTGCCCCCCCCCCCACCTCCGAGTCTGGAGGCCCTGCCTAGCTGCTGTCCGGCCCTCTAAGACAGCGTGACGGAGAACCAGCTGCGGGCTGGCAGGCGGTACCTGGGTTTATGCCGCACACTCTCATCCATGGAGAGGCCACAAGCCCAGCGTGCTCCAAAGGTGTCTCAGGAGAATGGCCCAGGCCAGCACCAGAAGGCTGATGGCGACAGCCTGGCAGAGAACGACACACGCACAGACAGGCAGACACAAAATGCCAGGGTGAGATGGCCATGAAGGGGATGGAATGGGGATGGATGACACGGCGAGAGGCACTGCAAGGTTTAGCACGGTGGGAAGGGAAAGGCGGTCCTCGATCCTTTGCCTACATGTGGCAGCCCCCAGGTTCAAGCTGCAAGGCTTGCAAAGCATGATGCTGCTGTGACTGCAGCATGGGAAGCTCCAAACTAGCTTTATTCTAGCCAGCACAGGCAACAAAAGCAGAAAAGACCATGCATGGGCTTCAGCCAGAGAAGGCTTGTTCCCCAGCTGCCAACCCAGGCGTATCCTCACTGCCATGGCCACCTGTGCCAGTATGGGCATGCCTACCCATGCCATAGTCACACTCCATTTTGCTGTACAGCCAGAAGAGTCCACAGCCAACCCACAGCGGAGCACATTTTCAGATAGGTTCGGAGCTCAGTTTGCCAGTGCAATCGCAGAGCCTGAACGCCTCCCCTCTTCAAATTGCCTGGGCAATGACCTGCTACTCAGATAGACTTTCAATCCATTTGCCCGTGCAATTGCATGACTAAGTTGCCTGTCACCAGTGCACCTTGTTCATTCACTTCAGGAGCAGACACAGGCCCCTGGCTCTGCAAAAGCCTGAAGATAAAAGGTGCTGCCAGGAGGGGGGAGGATTATTATAACACAACAATCCCCTAAAAAGAAAAGCAGAGAGACCAGGCAGCTAAAAAAATATCATGTCTATGTAGCCAGCTCCAGAGCTGGAGTTCCAGCTTGAAGTTGAACCATCGTTGAAGCAGTGCAGGACAAAGCCGGCTTGGCAGTGATAATGCGCTCCGATGATTTGGGTGATTTTCTTTAAGTACATTTTCTCCCCGTTAGAAAAACACAACAACGTAGGAGATGCATAAAAGCAGCAGGTCCCGCCGCGGAAGGAAGAACAGTTTGTTCAAACAAGGCTGATGTTACGCTGTCTGTGCCAGCAAAGAGCCTGCCAGCGACGTTAACCCTTCCCATGGGTACACCTCAAGTCCTCTGGGGATGCAGGCAAAGAGTTAAGTGCAAATATTTGGGCTGAATACCCAGTGGAAAGGGGCTGGAGGAGGAAGCCAGGGGCTGTTCTCTCATCCTGAGATGGGCCTTCTGAAAAGATTCAAGCTTCAAAAGGTCTGGTCCCCATGCAGGACGAAGGGCAAGAGGAGTGTTTCTGGCACCCCACTTGCAGATGGGTAAAAATAAGGAAGCCTCAGAGATAGGACGTAGCCAGAGACAGGGGAATGCTCACATCCTTGTCCCCAGGCAAAAACTGCTGTGGCTTCAAGGTAATGCTCATCTCTGGCTCAGAAGGACATGACAGCCAGTCATGCACCAGGCCCTGGGGTTATAACCAGCACTGGTGCTGCGGGAGAGAGCTGACCTGGTAGCTAGGCTTGCCTGCTGGAAAAGCAGTGCCCCTGCATTCCTCGTCTCCCCATGGGTACACCTCTACAGCTCCTAGGGCCAGCCCCTTAGCTCAAGCCCACGGACCATTCACATCACAAAGCCCTACAGTTACCCCCAGAGTCCAGCCTGCACCCAGCAGTTCTCCTGTGCCCATGGGCCCAAAGCTGGGCTCCCCTCCAGCCCCCACTCTGCCCAGGGGGTGTTCAGCACACGCACAAGTGCTGCACAGCACAGCACAGCCATCTACTACTGACCCTTCCACACCCGCTTCTGCAAGAAGGAAACACGAAGCGGCTGTGATTCCTACACGGGCTGCATCCAAGTTGCCTGCTCCTGTCCTCCTAGAGCTATGTGTGCCTGCACCTCATCTCCCCATTGCTCCCTGCATGCTCGTTGCAGAAGGTAAGGCATGGAGAGGGGTGGGACACATCTCAGGGGAGCTGTATGAGCCTTCATCCCACTGCAAAGCAGAGGTTGGGCTGCCCCCGGGTTACCCCATGGCACAGGCTTCCAGCAGCTGACACACACGGAGAGAGCACATACATGCCCACGAATGAAAGCCTCAACATCCAAGCAACAGACCACAGCGCCCTCCAGCCCCAACTGACCTGGCAGGGAGCAGATGCCGTTTCCTTCTCTGCTCCAGGCCTTTCTCCTGGGGCAGCCCCAGCGACACAGCTCTTGCCTAGATCATCACTCTTGCTCCCTACTGAGCTGTCTGAAGTGATTGCCTCAGCAAGGCTGAAGCCAGCAGCTTCCTCTGTCTCAGCGTTCCCCAGGGACGGAGTTTCGAGGGCAGATCCCTTTGCATGGCTGGGGGGAGCAAGATGGCCCAGGAATCCTGGCGCATCGGGGACAGCAACATTCAGCTCTCCATCCAGAGCAGCCGCATCTTTCTGGAAGCAAAGATCAGGGAGAACTGAGCCGTGCCAAAGAAACACTCCCACCAAACCACCTGCAGGTGATGAATTCCAGGAAGGGAACCCACCGACTGGGAGACGGGCCAAGGACCTGCAAAGGTCTTTCCCATCTTTGCCAGCCCAGAAGCCACAGTGCAAAGCTGTCTCTGCATGCAGGCTCAGTGCCTTTTGCTGCCAGATTGGGGCAGGGGGCCCTGCAGCTGGCCCAGAGCCACAGCTGGTCTGTAGCAGCACCTCCATGACAGCTCTCAAGCAAGGGGTTGCACACAAGTCTCAAGAGGCCAGTAGGGCACAGCATTGTATGGAGGCAGTGTAGGGAGTGGATGAAGGGCACCTGGGCAGGGTGGTCAGGCCTGGGTGCACACTGAGGTTCCCCATGGATCTGGGTGTTCCCCCTGTTGCTTGTATACATGCATGCCTGGGTTTTAGAGGACTCTGCCACCACGGCCAGCGTCTGCAGGCACCATAGAGGTAAGAGAGTCCTAAGAAGCCATTACCTGCTGGCCAGGCCCAGCGTCTCCCTCAGCTGCCTCCTTGCCAGTCTGGGCAACTGATCCAAACTGAGCTAAACCCAGAGGTGTGGCCATGCCATCAGCTTCCCCCGCAGCATCACACTCAGCCTCCTTCATCATCAAGGCTTTCCCTTCCTCCTCCTCTTCCTTGCCATTCGGGATGGCATTATCTTGGCCCTCGCCCTGTGACGCTGTCCCTTCGGCCCTCGCAGACTCTGCTGCTGTCCCTTCAGCATCTTCCTCTCCCTCTTCTCCAGGCTCCTCTTCCACTGAAAGGTTAAGAACATCGCCCTTGCAATGAGGACGGGACCCAGGGCTGCAGGCAGAGCCTGGCTTGGATGGGTACAGGCACTCCCATCTCACAGACACCCACCCCTGCCAGAATCATCAGTTTATGGCGGGTCTCAGGCCAAGGGGAGCCTCATTCTCTCAGGTCAAGAGGGAATACAAAGCTGACCCTTTCCAGATCCTGGGACTGTGAGAGCACCGCTATCAGAGAAGCTGAGCTGGATTCCCAATCCCTTTCAATCCGACCCAAAGCCCACTGAAAACCAGTGGGAATCAATATCAACTTCAGTGGGGTTTAGATGAGACACCACAGGCTTCTCTTATGAGGAAAAGGCACCTCAACAAACAAGAACAAAGCCCACTGGAGGGGTCAGCTCTGGGGCTCTGCGCTATCCCCCTTCCTCTTGTGATTCACCACCCATCTCCCCCTTTGCCCTCATGCCCTTCATGGCCCTGTGCCCAGCACACACCAGCCTGCACCTCCCAATAGCCCCATCATGTGTGGGATGTGCAGGGAGGGCTTGAAGAGTGCAGCTCCCAGAGGAGAATCGGGTGGATGTAACAGGGGCCAATGTCCACGGCGAGGCAGGAGGGTCACTGCTCTTCTATCAGGAGCTGGAGGCTGGCCCTTTGCTCCGAACAAGGAGTACCTCCTTGCTGCACAAATAACAGTGATAGTGGAAATGGGGGCCCAAGTGAACTCAGAGTGAGGGAGAGAAGGAAGGATGTTCCCTTGGTTCAGTGCGGAGAATGGCGCGCTGTAACCATGTGCAGACTCAACCCCACGCCCGTCCCTGCCCCTGACCACCCCACATGCTTCTCCTTGCCTCTCATGAAGTCCAAATGGTAGAGCACCCGCTCCTCTGCATTGAAGTCCACTGCGTAGTGCTCCATGTTGTCATAGCCGGACTCCATCTCCTCCACCTGACAGCTCTTGGTCATCTCTGAAATCCTGCAGAGAGACGGGACCATCCAGAGCACTGCCCCCTTGCCCCAGAGAGCCAGAGATGGAGAGGCGAATAGCAGGGGTGTGGTACTTACTTCTGGATAAGGACACGGGCGTTCTGGGCAGGGAGAAGAGGAGAGAGATAAGACCACAGGCAGTGAACAAGAACAGGGGAAAGGTGCATGCATGGACACATCTGCATGCATGTGAGAAACCCATCTGCTTTCCCACCCTGCTCCCAATCAAGAAGATAATCCTGCCTCATCCATGTTTAACTCTTCACGGCTTGGCTTTGCTATGCACCCCAACCGTAACCAAAAAGAGTAGACCTCAGGTCGACTCCATCTCTCATCCCACACCAGACTATTCCCTGGCCAAGATCCTAGTTGCTGCTCTCCTGACAGTGGGGCCATAGAGGTGGTCTTCTGACTTGAGGGGTTCCCACTCAGTGGGTGGCCCAGAGCCATGGAGGTTTGGTTGGAAAGGAAGCCAAGATGGACAACCTCAGAGCCATCAACCCCAATCCATGCCCAGGGCACCGAGTTGCAAGACTGCCTCAAACACCAAGAAGACCACCACAGCTGTTGTATATCAAGGCAAGCCTGGTCTTGTTCATCCCCTAGCCCTGGGAAGCAAAGCCCATCAGTTCATCCTGGGAACAGGAGAAACAAGAGAGAGATGGTACCTGCACAAAGACAGCCATCTGTGGCTCTTCCATGGACTGCAGCGCAGTGTCCACCAGCTTGGAGGCAGACTCAACATGGTCCCCATACAGCCTGGCAAGTGACTTCACGTGCTGGGTCTTCTCTTCCTGCTCATAGGTGATGCGCTGCAGCATGATCTTCCTGCGCTCCTCCAGGATGGCATACATGCGGTCAAACTTCTCGCACAGAGCCTGCTTCTGAGCTTTGCAGTTGTCCTGCCCGAAAGAGCCAAAGACCATCAGTGCCCACCCTGTCAGCATGGATGAACACAAGTTCAGCTCACTGGATCCTGGAGCTCAGGTAGACTCGACTGATAATATCATCTGAGCATCTTGTGCTCACAGGAGAATTTCAGCACTCATGGTGCTCTGGTGTGGTGCCAGAGGACTGGAAGAGGGCCAGTGTGGTTCCTATCTTCAAAAAGGGGAGGAAGGAGGACCCAGGGAACTATAGGCCAGTTAGTCTTACCTCGATCCTAGGCAAGCTTTTTGAGAGAATTATTCTGGCACACGTCCACGAGGGGCCGGGGGGAGAGATTATGCTTAGGGGCAACCAACACGGGTTCATTAGAGGAAGGTCCTGTCAGACCAACCTGGTGGCCTTCTACGACCAGGTCACCAAATCATTAGATGCAGGGGTAGCAGTGGACTTCATCTTCCTGGACTTTCGGAAGGCCTTCGACACTGTCTCTCACCCCGTTCTCATTAAGAAACTGGGGGGCTGTGGTGTCAACACCCACACAGTCAGATGTGTCGCCAACTGCCTGGAGGGCTGCACCCAGAGAGTGGTGGTGGACGGGTCATTTTCGACCTGGAGGGATGTGGGCAGTGGGGTCCCCCAGGGCTTGGTCCTCAGGCCCACACTGTTCAAC